TTAAGTAATTATAAAAAACAACAACAAAAAAAATTTTAGCAGGCAAATTTGCCTGCATTACAGTTTAAGAGATAATACACTTTAAAAAAACTTTATTTGATCTCACATAATGAACTTTGGATTTAACAACCTCGACATTGTAAAATTTTTTTTTTTTATAATAGTTCAGTATAAAAAAAGCTGAACGTTTTTTTTTCTTACTCCCAAAACTATCAGTTCATTATAGAGAGTTGACAGTACTTAAATCAGTATGGTCTTAGATAAGAAAACTCCAGGTTAAAAAGCACTCAGATAAGAAAACTCTAGATTAAAAAGTGCTATAAGTGCTAAAAGTCAAAAGGGAAGTTAAAATTAAAGGTTTAAAGAACCTCTCCTGTTAAGATTTCAAGTAATAAAAAAAAACTTCTAGCCATAATTAGAACATGGTTACTAAAATAGTTTTTTTTGTTTTCTAAAGCATAATTAAAGGCTTAAAAAACCTCTCCGGTCAAGATCTCAGGTAGTATAAAAACTTCTAGCCATGATTGGGACAACGTCATTACTGATATTTTTATTTATTTATTTATTTTTATTTTTCTAAAGCGCTATAAGGGCTAAAAGTCCAAAGGGAAGTTGGAATTAAAGGTTTAAAGAATCACCCAGATCAAGATCTCAAGTAGTAAAAAACTTCTAGCCGTGATTGGACAACATAGTTACTAATTTTTTTTTATTTTTCTAACACTATAAGGGTCAAAAGTCAAAAGAGAAGTTGGAATTAAAGATTTAAAGAACCACCCGGACAAGATCTCAAGTAGTAAAAAACTTCTAGCTGTAATTGGAACAAAAGTTGAAAGAGAGTTGGAATTAAAAGTTTAAAGAACCACCCCAGTCAAGATCTTAGATAGTATAAAAACTTCTAGCTGTGATTGGGACAATATCGTTACTAATATTTTTTTTTTATTTTTATTTTTCTAATACTATAAGGGTCAAAAGTCAAAAGGAAAGTTGGAATTAAAGGTTTAAAAAACTACCCCGGACAAGATCTCAAGTAGTAAAAAACTTCTAGCCATAATTGGACAACGTTGTTACTAATTAATTTTTTTTTTTCCGGTATTGCTATTATTTAAAGATTGAAGTCGAAAAGTATAAGCATTTATTCATTATTTGAAGAAAATGAGACAGGTAATTCTGAGAATTTTTAAAATGACTATTTTGTTATTAATCTTAAGTTTTTTTTTCTTATGGTTATTGCTATAATTTAAGGATTAGAGTTGAAGTTGATAAGCATAAAACGGATATGCATTATTTGTGAAGTCAACTGAAACAGATAATTATGTAGAAATTTTTAAAATGGTTATATGTTATTAATTATTATATTTATAACTTTTTTGTAATGCTTTAATATGTGGATGCTGATTACTCACTGGTTCTTAAATTCCCAAAATTTTTTTCGCATTAGAAGATAGAGTGTTAACAAATCTGAATTTATAAAATTTTATATTAATATAAAGCATAGTGCTAAAATCATATAAGCTTTTTTTTTTTTCTTATAGTTATTGCTATTATTTAAGGATTAGTAATCATTAAATATTTATGCGTTAATATGAAGTCAACTGGGACAGATAATTCTATAGGAATTTTTAAAATAGCTATTCTTTATTAAGTTTTTTTTTTCTTACGGTTATTGCGATTGGAATTGAAGCCAATAAGCATAATGTGTATAATAATTTATATTTGATATATTATATACTGTATATTGTAATAATGTTAATGTAGTCTTTTGAAAAATAAAGATTAGAAAATAAAAAAAATCGATAATCTACTACGCAGTCTTCAGATTAAAATTAAATGTTGAAACTTTGTTTTATTATATTTCCATCTGAATAATTAACTTAATTATAAAATATATCGGTATTAACAATTTCAGTTTAAACATTTGTATCGATATTTTTTGTTTAATATTTTTTGTACAAATTCAGAAAAAAGTATAGATTAACTATTCTAAAATATTATGGTTGGTCAGTATTATATATTATAGTTGGCTGGTAGTACGTTATGATTTGACATATTTTTAAGTATATGGATTAAAGCATTCTTGAATATTAACAATATAACACGAGTTATCAAACACACAGCTATTAGAATTTGATACTATTACAGCATTATGATACAATTTTTAAATTTTTTTTTTTAATACTAAAGTATTATTGATTAATTTTCATAATATTAATATAAAGCATTATCTACGGATTCTTATTATCATCGCTCATACTTTCCCAAAATGATACCTACATTATCATCTCTATAATCGATTTTGTTTTAGGAAGAAAATTGCATTAACTTCTTATTTAGTAAAGAGATTTTGTATGAACAGTCTATATATAATATATATGGTGCAAGGATAACAAGGCATGCTAAAGTTTTTCAATGTAGAAAAAAACGGTGTAGAAAAGCTGTATCTATTTTTAAGAACTTATTTTTTTCTAAGGGTCGATTAAAAGCCAATGAAGTTCTTTTAATTGGATACTTATAGCTTTCTAAAGCACCACATAATTCGATTATGGCTATTACGGGCCATTCACCAAATACTATAACCGATTATATCAGTTTTTATAGGTAAGAATAGAAATCGTTAATGATTTTTTTTTTAAAAAAAAAAAACTTTGATTTTTTTTTATACTTGCTGTTCTTAATGGATTGTTAGTACTTTTCTTCAAAAATAAAAAAAAAAATCTATTTACATACCACTCCTGATAGGGTTTAAAAAATTATACGTTACCAAATAGTGTTGCTTGCTGCAAAGGTGCAACTTAATTTTTACAGCTTATTTATGCTGTAATTATTACAAGATAAGTTATAAATACTATATTACTGAGATCATTTTTTATTGCGACAATAGGTCGCAACTCTAGTCGCGTTATAAAAATGTCACACTTCATATTTGCAGCAAGCAACACTATTACTAAAGTAGTAAAAATGTAGCATAAAATTTGGTAGCTTATTATACTACCCAATCTGATTATAATATATATAACATATAAATTCAAATAAATAAAAATATCATATTTTCATGTAATAATTCCTATTGGCGTTATTTTGAATTTTGGCTTAATTTGGCCAAAATTCAAAATTATATCTCTGTACGTTATTACGTAAAAATACAATAACTCACATTAGCAACTAAGCTTTGATCATTTAATAAATTTTCTAACGTAAATATCCTTACTATTAATTATAGGTCTCTTGTTAGATTTAACATTCAAGAAACACAGGGTAAGATTGGGGCCTGAATATTGTAGTAGAAATAGACAAGTCAAAGTTCGGCAAACAGAAATACAATCGTGGCCATCGTGTGAAAGGAGTTTGGGTTTTTGGTGGTGTAGAGAGAACCCTGGAGAGAAGATTGTTTGCAAAGGCTGTTGATAACAAAACTGCCGAGACCCTACTCTCTCTAATTGAAAAAAATATACACGCCAACTCTATTATCTATTCAGATCTGTGGCATGCCTACACAAGAATAGATTCTGATTTAGAGATTAGACACCAAACTGTAAATCACAGTGCAAATTTTGTCGACCCCACTACAGGCACTCATACAAACACAATTGAAGAAATCTGGAATGGTATTAAAATTCAGATTAGTAATATTAATCAAAAAAACATTCAATTTAAAATTTTTTAAATTCAACTATTAAGTAATTTTTGAATTTAATTAATTAAAATTATTATATTTATAAATTAATTAAAACGTATATCAACTAATTGCAACTAATTCCCATAGACGCCAAATCACATCCAAGAGTATTATTTCAAATTATAGACTATATTAAGTTTAATACAGGCCATAATTCGAAATAATACTCTTGGATGTTATTTTGTTTTTACTAGGTAATAAAAGTTGGTCCAATTACTTAATTGTTTTTTTTTTTGATTAGGTTCCATCAAGAAGTCATACAAAGTCTCACATTTCAGACCATTTATTTGAATTCATATGGTGATGGCAGAACAAAGATAATCTTTAGGAGAATATGTTGAAGTGTATAAAGAATACGGGATATTTTGATGAGGAAGTAGATGATACAGATGAAGAAAATGAGGATGAAGAGAACGAAGAGGACGAAGAAGAGGAAAATAGTAGAAATGAAGAAGGGAAGAATAAAGGGGAAGAGGAGAATGAGAGGGAAGAGGAAAATGAGAATGAGAGTGATGATGGGGATGGGAGTAATGATGGGGACGTGAATGAAGAGGAAGAGGATGAAGTGGAGGAAGAAAATGATAATAGTGAGTATAGAAATGATGATGATAATAATGAGGACGAAAATGATGAGGAGGATTGGTAAGATGGTGATAATGAAAGTGGCAAAAATATGCTAATATAAATATTAAATATTATTTAAAAATGATTAAAATAATCATTCACTTACCATAAATATCAGCGGCTATCTAAAAACTGGTACCTATTGGGTTTATCCAATATTATAAAGTATTCTCAATAATCATTGATTATAAATCATTATGCTATATTTTTATTTGAAGTTGTGTTCTAAATTTTACATTATAAAATAGTTTTTATACAACATAATGATTCAAAAAAACAATATCTGACATTGTTGTATATAAAGCTTCCGATTCTATATATGAGTGTGTGAGAATGAAAACCTGTAACTAATCATAGTAAATTATTATAATCAGTTCCAGGTTTTTATTCTCACGCACTCATATATAAACCTTACAATACTCTCTTAATGTTATACTTATTGATGTCGAAAGTCTAAATCTACAATATTTGTGCTATGTAAACTACTTTGTAAAATACTACCACTATTAAACTCGATAAGTAAATGAATTATTTGTAGATCAGAAATGCCTATTCAATTGATAACTATAAGTATAAAAAAAAAAAGACTTTTTAAAAATTCCTATAGAATTATCTGTCCCAGTTGACTTCAAAATATCACATAAATGCTTAATAAATATCGGCTTCAACTCCAATCCTTAAATAATAGCAATTACTATAAGAAAAAAAAAACTTTAAATTAATATCAAATAGTCATTTTAAAAAATTCCCATAGAATTACCTGTTCTGGTTGACTTCAAATAGCGCATAAATGCTTTATATTATTAACTTCAACTCCAATCCTTAAATAATAGCAATAATCATAAGAAAAAATTTTTTTTTTTGAAATTAATAACAAATAGCTATTCTAAAAGTTTCCATAGAATTATCTGTTCCAGTTGACTTCAAATAGAGAATAAATGCTTTATGTTTAACATCTTCAACTCCAATCCTTAAATCATAGCAATAACTATAAGAAAAAAAAAAACTTTAATTAATAACATATAACTATTTTAAAAATTCTCACATAATTACCTGTTCCGATTGACTTCACAAATAACGCATATCTGTTTTATGCTCATTGACTTCAACTTCAATCCTTAAATTATAGCAATAACCATAAGAAAAAAAAAACTTAAGATTAATAACAAAATAGTCATTTTAAAAATTCTCAGAATTACCTGTCCCATTTCCTTCAAATAACAAATAAATGCTTATACTTTTCGACTTCAATCCTTAAATAATAGCAATAACTGGAAAAAAAAATAATTAGTAATGATATTGTCCAATTCTAGCTAGAAGTTTTTTTACTACTTGAGATCTTGTCTGGGGTGGTTCTTTAAACCTTTAATTCCAACTTCCTTTCGACTTTTGACCCTTATAGTGTTAGAAAAAAAAAAAAAAAAAAAAAAACATTAGTAACAATGTTGTCCCAATCATAGCTAGAAGTTTTTATACTATCTGAGATCTTGATCGAGGTGGTTCTTTAAGCTTTTAATTGTGCTTTAGAAAACAAAAAAAAACCATTTTAGTAATCATGTTCCAATTACGGCTAAAAGTTTTTATTTATTACTTGAGATCTTGACCAGAGAGGTTCTTTAAGCCTTTAATTGCGCTTTAGAAAACAAAAAAAAAAACTATTTTAGTAACCATGTTCCAATCATGGCTGGAAGTTTTTTTTTATTACTTGAGATCTTGATTGAGAAAGTTCTTTAAACCTTTAATTCCAACTTCCCTTTCGACTTTCAGCACTTATAGCACTTTTTAACCTGGAGTTTTCTTATCTGAACACTTTTTAACCTGGAGTTTTCTTATCTAAGACCATACTGATTAAGTACCATCAACTCTCTATACGAACTGATGGTTTTGGAAGTAAAAAAAAAACCGTTCGGCTCTTTTTATACTTAACTATTATAAAAAAAAAAAATTTTACGATGTTGAGGTTGTTAAATCCAAAGTTCATTATGCAAGATCAAATAAAGTTTTTTTTAAAGTGTATAATACGTACGCATGTATATACATACGTATATACTATATACTAAATAATTTTTAATTACTATAATATGGTATTACAATATTCTATATTTGATCTGTTGTAAATCCGTTGTTTGATCTGATCGTATTATATAACTAATCTTACTAATCTTACGGCAAAATTTCCAGAAATGCTAGGGTAAGCTATACTATATTTGATCCACCCTATTTTCTAGAGTATATTTTATGTTATGTGACCTCTATTTTTAGAGTTTAAGGTACTTTTTTATGTAACCTAGGCCAGACGGGGTCATATATGGTATGTACCCTATTTTTTGAGGTACATACCCAATTTTTAGAATGTATACCCTAAATTAGTAGGTAAGCTATACTGTATTTGAGCCAAATAGGGTATGTATCCCAAAAATAGGGTATATACCCCAAAAAAATGGGTATGTACCCAAAAAATAGGGCATATACTCTAAAAAATAGGTATATACTCTAAAAATTGTATAAAAAAAGGGTATATAATAGTATTATATATATATACACACGCGGGTTAGTGATGTGTGATGCAACTGATAAGACTTGACGAAACTATGACGCAACCTGACGAAACCATATGTTGCGTCACTGATGCATGATGCATGACGCAACTCAAACATATGTTTTTAAGGGTCACATGAGCAGTTGCGCCAGGTCACATGAGTTGCGTCACACATTA